GCCAACATTATGGATAATCTCACCTAGATTGCAGTCAACTTTGGCACCCGCCCAGGCACAATGATAATTACTTATGTAGATCAGGAAGACTGAGGAAATAGGATAATATAGCCTTAAATAAAAACTGAAACGCTGTCACCATTTGGAGCTTGCCATGGCCATTAGCGAGATGTCGTCTTTACTGCCACAGCCTTCAAACATTACGACTTGACATGCCACTGCCTGTCACACTCTGCTATATTGCTCTCGGGTTCATTCCCTTGGCAGTGTCTGCGATGCTAAGAAAAAACATGCCTCTCAGAGGCCAACGTAGTCATCTGGTGCCGATAAAACTGAAATAATTTTTTTTATGACGATGATGATGATGAACTCTCCAAGATTCTGGGATAAAGGGTGCCATGGAGAGGTAAAGCGCTTTGCGGACATTAAAACCTCCTGCTTCCAAACCACCGCCGTGAGTTAGCGGCCACAGCTTCTTTATCAAAGAAGCTGCCTGATAAAGAATGGCTGGAGGAAGTTCTGCACTGTGAGCACAGACCAAAGACTCAACTGCCTGCTGCACACTTAAGTGACCCTGTACAAACCCTCTGGGATTTTGTGTTCAGAGTGCTAGCGAAGAGCACTGCGCTCCCTCACGGGGGAGCAGAGATGGCAGAGAGATGTTCAGACTAGACTGACAAGGGCCAGGCAGGGAAAAAAAGACAGATCACAAAAAGGCCAAGGTTGGAAGGGACCTCTGGAGATCATCTAGTCCAACCTCCCTGCTCAAGCAGGGTCCTCTAGAGCATATTTCCCAGGATCGCGTCCAGGCGGGTTTTGAATATCTCCAGCGAAGGAGACTCCACAGCCTCTCTGGGCAACCTGTGCCCGTGCTCCGTCACCCTCACACTCAAGAAGTTTTTCCTCATGTTCAGATGGAACTGCCTGTGTTTCAGTTTCTGCCCGTTGCCTCTCGTCCCGTCGCTGAGCACCACGGAGAAGAGTCTGGCCCCATCCTCTTGACACCCTCCCTTCAGATTTTTGTGTACATTGATGAGATCCCCTCTCAGTCTTCTCTTCTCCAGGCTCAACAGGCCCAGCTCTCGCAGCCTCTCTTCACAGCAGAGATGCGCCAGTCCCCTCCTCATCTTTGTAGCCCTCCGCTGGACTCTCTCCAGTAGGGCCATGCCTCTCTTGTACTGGGGAGCCCAGAATTGCACGCAGTACTCCAGATGTGGCCTCTCCAGGGCTGAGGAGAGGGGCAGGATCACCTCCCTCCACCTGCTGGCAACACAGGTTGCAGACCGTTGGCCCTTCTGGCCACAAGGGCACATTGTTGCCTCACGCTTCACTTCTTGTCCACCAGCACTCCCAGGTCCTTCTCTCCAGAGCTGCTTTCCAGCAGGTCAGTCCCCGACCTGTCCTGGTGCATGGGGTTATTCCTCCCTAGATGCAGGACCCTGCGCTTGCCTTGGTTGAACTTCAGGAGGTTCCTCTCCGCCCAACTCTCCAGCCTGTCCAGGTCCCTCGGAATGGCAGCACAGCCTCCTGGTGCGTCAGCCACCCCTCCCAGCTCAGTATCATCAGCAAACTTGCTGAGGGTGCGCTCTGTCCCTTCATCCAGGTCACTGACGAAAAAGTTGAACAAGACTGGACCCAGTACCAACCCCTAGGGGACACAGCTAGCTACAGGCCTCCAACTAGACTCTGCACTGCTGATCATAACCCTCTGAGCTCCGCCATTCAGTCAGTTCTCAGTCCACCAAAGGTCAAAAGATGAAAGGTCAAAATGGCTTGATCAAAGTAATGTCACAAATCACAGCAAACTAGGCAGAAAACCTCACTCGGAGAGGACAGGCGTTTTAAAATTGGAACAGAAACCACAGAGAATTATCTCCACTGGCAGAGACAAAGAGCTTCATCCTGCTTCTACAATGGTTTCTCTGGACATCCAGACGGCAGAGGGGACCCCTGAGCCTACCTCGTTCAGTCCCTGACCTCCTGGCTGAGTACACCTTCACAGCAGTAAAAGGAGGCTGATGCCAACAGCGACACCAATAGCTCTTGACTATACAGACAGGGGTCAGCAGCAAGTGATTTGAGATCAGTCCTTACAACCAGTCCCTCTCTATTCATCCTTCACAGACACCCAAGAGAGGTCTGTCTCACTGGACACCAGCAGTCACTAAAAGCTGAGGCGAGACCACAGATACCACGCACATCGCCCACTCCTCCTACTCTTCCAGCTATACCTCACAGGCAGTTTCCCACTGGCTCAGAGACAAGACAGACCTACTGTGCCCTTCTAGCTCTTGAAGATAAAACACTTCCTAAATTAACAGGCGGCACATAACAGACGTCAGAGGGAGAAAGAACTAGAGGAAGATGTAAATGCAAGACATGCAAGTTACCTTTAGTGCAAATAAGTCGCTTTCCAAGCTGTGCCCTATCAATATGGTATCTGCGCTGAACATGTTCAATAGGACGGCTTGGACATCCCGCAGGGTGATGCTAGTATTCTCCAGGTCCTCCTCTGTCACCCCTGAGAATCTGCAGTGCAAGAGCAGCGAGGAGGGTTTCCTTCACTAAAGGAACACCTCAAGGGCTCTGATGTTATCAGAGGTGACCCAAAAAGTTTCAGCTGTCAGGGAGTGCTAGTCACTGGGGTCTCAGCAGGTGTTCCCCAGCAGTTCCCCCTAATTTCCTGATTCTGAGCAAAAGACCTCTGACCCAAGGAAGGCTGTCGTTACCTGGTGTTATAGTCCACCACCTTGGTGTCCGGTTTGACGAAAGTGTCATATACCACTTTCAGGTCAGAGTTGATCACAGTTACTCTTGTCAGCTCCAGTCCTTGCTTAGTGTAACACTGCAAACAAGACACCAGACATGAAGAGAAGTGCGTGTGAACCACAGCACGGTCCTTCGCATGGTATCTACAGGACTGTTCACCACAACGCTCCCAAAATGCAGCAGGGCCAGCCAACATGCACTGTTTAACATCGGCCTTGGAGTTAGCTATCATTTTTCAAGGGTATGTGTGATTCCCAAATGAGGCACATAATGGCAAAACTAATTAATAAGGTTTAATTACAGTTAACAGAATCTCTGCATTTTAGAGTCCACGACATCATAAAGACACACACACACAGAGTTCAGGACTGATCAGCCCCACTCCGAGCACTGGTTGTCCAAACAAGCAGACTGGATCACACCATTCCCATGGGTGATGGGTAAGGGGTAAAGTCCCCTTCAGGACACAGCAGTTTTTTTCCCCTATGCAAACTTCTTACCTTTTGGAAGGAAGATGATAGGGAGACAGAGTTTCCCTTCAGACGTTTGCATTGCACCCTCAGCCTTCCTCCAAGCCTTATTTTGCCTGTGCATTGCCTCTACCATTAGGACTTGTAGTTCCAGGACTCACCATTTCACAGTCTAATGCGTAGATTCCAGGATAACCATCAGTTGTAGGCAACTTCTCAAAAGTCTTCACAAAGCCATCAAGGCTCTCCTTCCGCCCATCGTGAACATGTTGCTTTAAGGGAAAAAGGCACATTGGTTGGCAGCAGGAACAAGAATCCATGAACTCCCATTTCAGCAAAACCTTCAACTCAAAGGAAATGATTTTTCAGTCATTTCTAGAGTTTAATGAGGAATAAGGTTCACCTAGTAATGAGTCTGAGAAGTTCACCACGATAGCAAAAATAGCCACAAGTGACCCCAATTCTAAAGACAGGTCACAGCTAGTGGCATCGCATTGGCAGCTGACATAGGAGCAACACATCTTACGTCTAAGGACTAGGAGATGGGGATCTCAAATAACTTTCAGCTTTCAATTCAGAGTAGAGTTACTCTGGGAAGGTTCGCAGTGAGGTCTTACATGGATTTACTCCAGCTTCTGGGTCATGGTTTAGACTGTGGACAAGACACCTCGGTGCAGGATGCTACTCTCCAACTTCCCTGTTTGAGCATAGTTAATATTGTTCATATCATAACCCAGAGTTAGCAAGAGAAAGTCTAGTGCAATGAAGTGTGCGAATCAATGTGTGCAGACACTGCAAATAAAAGCTGCTGTATTCCAAAACCAGACTCTTCACAGACAAACAAGAGCTACTGCCTTCTAGCACTTGAGGCAATAAATGGAGACTATTTCTAACCGCTCATTATCCCCTGCGAAAGCTCTAGGCTCAACAAGATTCAGTACCAGAAAGCTTCCTGAGCTAGCAAGAAAACTCAGGGAGTGGTTTCACGAGTAGCTTAAACCAATGGAAGACTAAGCCACTGTTGCAACAGGCACTCCTACTCTCCTCTCCTCCACAGCCACAGATCCCACCGTGCGTCTGCATTGGTACTACCTAGTCAGCCTGAAAACCTTCTTTGCAGGGAGAGTTTTAAACTGGAACATTGCACTGATCTGATTACCCTCACCTCTGTACCAGTGAGCAAGTAGGAACACACAACAGAGAGCAAGGCAAAGGTTGCAACTGCCCCTTTGTCCAGTAACACAGTTTCACGTGAAATGAAAACTGCTGCACCACACCCTGAAGCTTCACTGTCTCTTCCTTATTCCTCAGTGGGTTGTCTTTTTTTTTTTTTTTAAATACCTTTTTAAAGTTTTGCTATCCCCAAATATTAACACAGTTGCCCACAAACACACCAGTCTCTGTGCACAGCCCCCTTCATCACGCTTCTCACAAATCTCACCCTGCAAGGAATCACATTGTACTTGGCATCATCTCAGGACAGGAAGGCTGGAGAGATGAGGATCAGAAGTAGTTCTAAGCTAAAACCTGAAGGTGGAAGGATAACCAAAGCAGGGATTTGCATATTTCCCTGTATAGATTATTATTGCAGGTACAGCCAGAGTACAGAGAACTGCATCACTTGAAGTTAACTAGGCAGGTGGGCAAACAGGGAGTCTGATCTCTCCCTGTATCCAAAGCCAGCATTGTTCAAAGGCTGCATGATTCACCGTTTCCCAGGAGCAAGAGGCTGCACTAGACAATTTTGCATCCCTGTCCCTGAATCTGGTTGTTTTGCTAAACAAACGGATAGAGCAGACGACCAAGCCAACAGATAGTAGATGTTTCTCTCCCACTTCAACTTGACCCCTTCACTCCCTCTGCGATGCAACATAACAGGGTGGCAGAGGAAAAAAAAAAATCCAGGCATTGTGCTACAACAGCTGATGCCCAGCAACCCTCCAATTCTTCCCGAGAGGAGGGCAGAAAAGTTGCTTCTGTTTTTGAGAGCGAAAGAACCAGAGCAGTCATCACAAAGAACAGCAGCTCCACACTCCTACCTCTTGGGGAGATGTAGGTATATGCACAGCTCTGCTCTGCCATCTCCTGCCACACTTGCTAACTGCAGTGTAACCCAAACAGGCACATCTCAAAAATATTTGGAAGAAAAAGATAAGGAAAAACCTCAGAAATGCTCTTCTAACCAGTCACAGATCTAGTCACTTAAGAGTGTCATGATCATACATATTTGCTGTTTTCAATGCCCTCCTTCAAAGCTGAAAAATACTGTGCTCCCCATTAGCCCAAACATATCTCATTTCAAATTCTCATCCTGAGCAGGCTGGGTATTCCGATCTTAATTGTACCATCACAGGATGCTGAGAAACTCACTCATTCGGATGAGAAAACCAAGAAAACCAGGAAAGAGTTTTTTTAAAGCAACTAGGAGGCAGATGTGAAAGGATGCCTGAGCACTGGCAGCATGCTTCATCAGGTAAGAGGCTGTTAGAGAGATTGTACGTTTCTTAAAAGGCCGTGGGGTTTTAGGGTCTACAACAGCCACGCAAAAAGATACAGAGAAGTCACGTTTTTATAGCCCCATCAATTTCTTCCGACTTCCCTGCTGGATGTCTTTTGGAACACTGATTAAAAAGAGATTCTAATTCCAAATGAAAAAGTAATAGGAAAAGTAGCAGCCTGTCTGAGCCTCATCCGTACTTCAGACTAGGCAGATCAGGCTTTTAGGGCACACATGCTGACAGTCCTTCCTACTTTGACAAGCCTTGCTGGCCCTGCACTGGCCTAGGTCTTCCAAAGAGTGGGACAAGAAGATAACAGACTCGCTCTGCAGCCCATTTCGTTGGACATAACCCTTTTAGATTCCCTCTCACTTGGCTCTGCAGCACGTTCCTCTCCCCTGTGCATGTTTTCCTGAACATAAAAATGCCACTGAAACAAGTGACTAGGCCCAGAGACCTAGGGGTCTCTCAGTTGCCCAAAGGAAAAAAAAAAAAAAAAAAAAGCACCTGCACAAAGGTACCACAGCAGTCTGTTCGATCAAAGGGCCAAAACTGAGGTCCTAAGCAGGTTTTTCACGCTACTTTTAATCCTGGGATCCTCTTCCCTGCCCAAGAGAAGCAGTGTTTATGGATTACAACAGGCTTCTTGGGATGATTTCTCTCCTTAATACAAAGAGCATGCAACAAACAGAACTAAGAAAGGATTCACCCTGCAGCAGAAAGTTACTTTAGTACGGGTATCTGGGAAAGAAAAAGATGGGAAAAATATATTGGGACACCGGAATCAAGGCCTCAAGTCTGCTCTTTGAAAGGAAATTCTCTACTTCTCACTTCTTCAATGTTTTCCCAAGCAGCCTGCATCTGAGCTTTTGCTGGGCAGCTTAATACACAGACATTTGCTTAGAATAAATGAAACCACCTCACTCCAAACAACTGAGGCTCCTCCTTCTTGCCACACACTGAATTTTTCTGCCTTTGTATAGCTGAATACGTTTAAGATGTACTTGTTTTTCCCTTAAGGGGAGCCACCGTTCTTTTAAAGACTTAAACAATAATCATACAGCCATCACCAATGCAACCAGAGGACAAATGTCATTGAGAATAAAAAGGTGTTGCTCAATTACTTACTTTAGCAACCTGGCAGCCTGGTGAACCCACTGCTCCTGAGCAGCAGCTGTAATGAGTTTCCCATCCACCTGGCACTGAAAGAGCAAGAGACAAGAGTCAAAGAGAGGAGCCCTATCAACAAGAGACCTAAACTTTAGCTCACAAGTGCACACTTATCCTGGATGAGCACAGCAACAATAATGTGTCGGGCAAAGGAGACAAGTAATTATGGATTCACGTGCAGCCATCTAAAGAGTTTAAAGCTCTCCAACTCAGCCAAACAAAAACTCCAGAAGCTACATACCAGCCGCGGTGCAGATGAGCAGAGCAGTTTGACTGATGTACCCATCACAGCAGATTCACTGACTATAGATGCTTTGTTGGAAGACTCCAGCAAAGTTCAAACTAGGTCTTGCTGCAAATGAATTCAATCAACTCCCTCAGGCAGCAACAAACGCAGGCAGCCTAGCGTTCACAAACAAGGCTCCTAATAAGACTACTCTTCCAATGGCCAAAAGAATGTTTTGGGAGCTTGTTTTTACCATTACTTGTTTTCAAACTGAAAGATCAACAACCTCTGCTCCAGCCCCATATTCACATTTTGGGCACCACACCGCCATCCCGCAGCATCTTTTCCCTATGTCATAAGGAACTGGGCCACCCAGGGACAAAACTGGGAACTGCCACAATGCATGAGTTTGACAAGCCCCATGAGCCACAGAAGGTTCCAGCGTAACTCAAAGGAAACGTAGCCTTGGTGTTCAGAGCCGAAAACAGGTAGCACGTGACCGAGCAAGCATCTTTCGAAGAAACCTACCTCTTTGCTTGCGTAGCCTTCCCCAGTGATGGACACACTCCTCTTTACGAATGCAGTTTCCAGAGGCTGACACCATGTACTCCGTGCCACAGCGACAACAAATCCTGCAGGAGGCTTTCAGAGAAAAGAAGGAAAGTCAGGTCACTGGAAATCCTGTGCCTGTTAAACTTGGCCAAAACACAATGAGTAAATCAATCTTGCTCAAGCCCCAAACACTGGTGAAATTCACAAATAAAACTTTTGCTTTTAAAAAGGATTCCAAATGTTGTTTCAAACTCCCACAGAGACCCAGCAATCCCTCTGAAAATGCAGTCTTCTGCAGCTCACTTCGCACCCTGAACCACTTTTTGGAGGTAAACCTAAGGCTCCCTAGTGCTTCTTTGCTGTGCAACATCAGCTTCAACACAGTTCACGTCCACATTTTCTGCATTATTTCTCTATCCACAGCAAGTTATGTTGTACTTCCACACAGTTACTAAAAAAAACAAATACACACACACACACACACACACACAATAAGTAAGTAATTCTTTGGACACCAAAAGCTAATGAGGCCTGGTTTCCAGGGGATTCATGCCTTGGAAGTGACAAGTAGTGTTTGAGCCCTTACTGGGCACAGCTTTTCTGTAAGGATTCTCTAGCCTCTAAAAATGGGAATGCTTGCAGACAAGCCCTCTGCGAAGGCAGCTATGGACTTCTCCCTCTTCCCTTTGGAACCTCTGCTCTTACCAGTGAGGCAGAAGGTAGACAACTGGATTAAGAGGACAGAAGTCACGCATATCTTGGGATATGCCTCACAACTCCAGGAGGACTGTCCAGCTCTGACATGGAAGAGCAGGATATCAGGGCACCATTGACTCCCACTGCTCATCTGCTACCACATTCTCACCTCCCCTCGACTCAGTGTTTTGTCTGAGTGTTTTGATGCTCTCTGCCACCTGAAAATTTTGCTGCACTGCCCCAAATATTAGTCACGCCTTTTAGCACCAAAGTCCTGAAAATGGAACCAGAAACTCTGTCTTGTCTGTGCAGCTTCCTACTGTTCACGGGGGAACACCACTCCTTTTGGCTAAACTTCACACCACGGAACTTTGCCAGGTACTTGAGCACCAAGATGTGATTTATTCTCCTTGGTCGGGGCCAGCACTTGGAACCACAAGCTCTAGTCTTTGAATATTGACCAAGAAGTAAGCCTTGTACAGCCTCTGAAAGGATGCATGCCCAAAAGCAAGAACTGAGAGGCTGCTGTCTGTGCTTTCAGTATTGCCCACTATTCAGAGAAGGGAGACGCAAAAATCCACAGTAAAAGAGCTGACTGTCATGCTTTTGATCTCAAAGCAACCCCCTCAGTTCCAGTGTGAAAAACTATCCTGCTAGCATACTGCCAAGTCAGTGACAGCTCTGTCTAACAGCAGTGTAGCCCGTTTTCATCTGCTGACCACTGTCACACAGCATGTTGCAACAACCTTAACAACAGACTAGCAATAGCTTCAGTTAAACAAGCCCAACACCAAAGCTCCTGTAACATCTTCAGGAAACTACAGAAACAGGACCAGGAACGTGACCTCAGAATTGTATAAAGGAGGTGGCTGGTTAACTGGAGAAAAGGGCTCTAACAAATACAGTACTTGACAGTGTTAATGCAAGAAAGCTTTCGTACAGGTTGCTTCAGCAACCACAGGACAAATGTAGACACAAGGTGTTAACATGGATGAGCACTTAACACACTTTAGCAAGGTCTCTCCAAAGAGATGCTCAGAGGAGCCTGGCAAGGCACCTCAAAATATATCCTTTGCTCCTTTAAGTATGTGTTTTATCCCGGCTGCATCACAGCCTGCTCTCATCAGCATTTAGAAAGTGTAACTGCTGCTAGAGGACTTCAGGAAAAAAAAAAGAGACAGGTAAAGACCTGACCCAGACCAGGGAAAACCTTTGGGTTTATTTCATCCAATCACAAAAAGAGCTTTTGGAAACTATTTGGCCCAGTGCCATCAAGTGAACAAGCAGAAAACTGCACAATCCAAAAACAGCACTGCACAACATGCTGGCAAGCCAGCCTGCCCCAATGTCCTTCTATATCACACCGTAAGAGCAGTTCATATGCACAGAGGCCTTAAAAAAAAAAAAAAAAAGGAAAAAAAAAAAAAAAGCTTCTGCCAGAAGAGAAGAGCCTTATTAGAAGCTGAACAGAAACCTCTCAATTTTCCTTACACCAGCAGCACGTAGCCTCCAGGTTAGCGTAATGAACTCAGGAGTTTGACTGAGGAAGAAGTCCTAAAATTTGCACTGAGCAACTCTCACACACAAGCTCTCAAAGAGAGTGATCAAAGACAGTTTGTCTAGGGAGGCAAACTTACCAAGTCATGTTCTTTGGCAGCAATTATAAACCTCACTCAGCCTCACAGCCCTACATACCACAAACTATAAACTGAGTCTCAAAAATACATTCTCATGACATGTAAGCTGAAGGAACTTGTCCTCCAGGAAGGCAGAAGACTTCTGCAGCCAAACTCCTCTCCTCTGTGTCAGGCTGGCCTGCAGAGACACTGGTCACAACCCAGGGAGACCCATCACAACAGGAGCAAATGACTCCCTGCTGAGACCAGTAGCATCTTTATGGGAAAAGACTGGCTACAAGCGGGACAGGTGTGTCCAGCTGTAATGCACCTAGCAAACTTTGCAGAATGAAGTAGCTAGCAGAGCTTACAGTCAATAGTTTTCTTCTCCTCCGCAGTGAAGAGGACAGCGCGGCCTGGCTTCTCTGGGTGAGGCATTGGGTAACCATTTTCCTTTAGCTGCTCCTCGGTCATGAGATATTCCTTCAGTCGCCGGTACAAGGCAGCTCCTGCAGACACCAAAGATAATGCTGAAGCCAGATCACAGAAATAAGTAGCACTTCTCCTACTATTTTCTGCTTTATCAAGTTTTCTGGAGGAACTCCCACTACTCTGAACTTGCTTTCATTGCCTTTGTTCAGTATTTGCAGGGAGATAGGTGCTGGGGCAACCTTTTTCACATCCGGTCATTGGAGCACAAGTTGATTTTTAAAGCCTTCAACAACCGTAATTAAGTTGGCACGTTTGGAAAACCCAGCTGAAGTAGAATTCCTCCAGTGGCTCCACCTTTTCGTTACAAATGTGAGACATTTCTCGTTTTAATTTTTTTTAATGCTTTAACTGATAAACTATAACACAGCCCAAAGAATATACTCTTCAGGGGCTACCCACAGCTAGCTAAAAATCTCATTATCAGGTGCTTTTTCCTGCTGTTGATTTCAGGCTGTTCGTTTTATTCCGCAGCATAATTCTAACTTCTTATACCCTGCTCAATATCTCTGCTCTAGCCCTTACGTTAAACCCTTCCAATATCGCCATGTACCCTTTGATGTTGCTTAGCTGAGCTATACAGGCTCTTTCAAGCTTTCTTCATGTCAATTCCTCCTGCTCTATAGCAGCCCTGTCTCTTCTGATCTCCCCAACAATTTGCCTACATCTCTTGGCAACCAAAACGCTCGTAACTGATTCGACCCAACATAGATAACGCTTGTGGCACAATCCTTTGGCTACGATATGACCTTACTACGACATTCGTAAATGTGAAAACGAGCCCTGCAGAACAGATGGAGATATTAGTAAGTTTGCCTTTAATCTCACAGGCACAATGTAAAGTACACCCCTAGGGCAGGAAAGCCAAAATAAAATCCATGCAGAAAAAACGTCCAGAAGTCAGTAGTGTCCAAAACACAAGAAGCGGTTCTGCTCGGCTGTTGATGCTACATCAAAGCAACACAGACTACATCAATGAACTCACAGCCTAAAGCAGGGAAATAAAGAAGGCACTAATCAGAGTAGCATCTCACTTTCTCTACCAAGAGAGTCTGCAGCATCACACTGCAGTTACATAAGAACTCATAACACTGGCCCAAAGACAAATCGTATCACTTCATGCATTGGCAAGATCCTGCTCTCCCCAGTCATGGTGTTATACCTGCAGCTATAACGTACAGGTTATGGCATCACAGGGGCAGCGCTTTACCTGTTAAGTCCTCTGCTCTCAAGCTCCCCGATCGGTTTAGAGTAAAGCTTGTCTTCGCGGCAAGCTTCCCTCCTAGCACAGCTTCATGGGACACCACTTTCTTGTTACTTGTCTCTGCAGCAGGAAGAGAGGAGACATAAAACAGGACAGAGATCAGGTGCAATCTTGGAAAAGTAAGAGACATCCATCCTAAAGCTTGGGGCACTGAAAACAGACAAAAGGAGGGTTAAATTTAGCCTCCTGAATTCTTGGTCTGCCCCCAAAACTGCTGCATGTCAGGTGGTGGTGGCCCGTTCCTACTACATTTCACTCCAGTATTATGGGGACTTTGCTGTTTGCACTGTCAGCCCACAGTAACTTTTCTACAAGCAGATAAGGACATGTGCACAGTTCCCCAGAACACTCCTGTAGCTCTGCCTGCTTACTCCACGCACCAAGTCCCCCTCCTGGATAAAGCAAGAGACAGCCGAGCACAGAGCAACTCAACTCAGTCATGGGCAAAGTTAAATAGCTGGCTGTGGGGCTGTGTGGTGGAGTTACCCTTGCACAGTGGGCAGCTTTGCTGTTAAGTCCCTGCAGACCAGACTCCCACGCTGAATCTTTCAGCTTCCTTTAGAAAGGCTTCAGAGCTCTGGAATATGCTCAACACATCAGATAATAGCAGATAGGTGCTTTTTACTAATCATTAACTGGCAGCCTTCTCCTAAAGGCCAGCCTCCCAAGTTCAGCCGCTCTGACTAATGGCCGTGAAGGTAATGAAGACAGAGAGGAGAAAAGGGAAGAGACCAGGAAAAAAAAATTCACAAGAACAGCACAAATTGATTGTTTAATGTACCCTCTCGAGAGCCAATAATGAAATGTCTTAACCCTCTTCGTTTCTCTCTTGAAGCTTAATGTGTGTAACAGATTTCTGCGGTGATGGACGAGTCTATCACTTTGAAGGCATCATGTGAAAGTTACTCCATTAGCTGGGCTTTTCATTTTAAAGAACTTGTGCTAAAAAAAAAATCCATGTGGCATTATCTCCATTTAGGTTCAGACAGCCAACAAAGCATTGCAGGACTTGCCTCTTGAAGGCCCATTAAAGCTTGCCAGACTATAAAAAGCTAACTGGAGTTGTTTGCCTTTCAGCATAATGCTTCTGAGAAATGGGTCTGTCTTTTCAACAAGTTTCTCTCCGAGCCTTCTAATCCAAGCGGGGCTCTGATTATTAAACCACAAATGTGGTACGTACTGTTTGTACTGGACGGGGAATTGGGCACTAAGCTTCTGAGCTTCTTTAAGGTGTTCACCGCCACATTCAGGTAGATATTCCGACTGGTGCTACGTTCGTAAGCCACCTTCTCTTCTGACAGAGCCTGCAAAAAACGCAATTCATTACTATATACTTGTTGCACTATTGTTTCTGGAAGAAAGAATCCAAGCATGACAGCAATACAATTGTCCTGTCAAGGGATCAAGTAATAAACTGCAGTATGGCACAAAGATATACTGGGTTTTAGGCCTGTTTAGGCAAGCCAGAGAAAGGAGAGAAAAAAGTATTAAACTAAGGTTTGGAAGAAGCATTTTCACGTGAAACTTTCCCTAACAGATTAACAAAGCAGCTCCTGAAACTCCGGGGAAAAGCTGTTCCCTTACTTCAGTGGTAGTGCAAGGCAAAGGTCTGAACTGGACAAGAAAAGGAAGTTTTCCAGACAGAAATGAGGGCAAACAGCTGCTCCTTGGGTGCAACAGGAACATTTCCCAGGGAGCGGTGAAGGGGAATTCCCACAAAAGAAATCCTCATGGCACATGCTGCCCCATATTTACCCAACTAACACCAATGGCCAGGAGTTTTCAGCAGAATGCATTGTTTTCAATTCTCCTTTTGGAAATCCTACCATAATATTCCCTACTGCTAGAAGGCTCCTTAAAAGCCCAGAAGCTCCTAAGCAACAAGTTTTACCAATTACATCCGTTTATCTTTATTGAATGCTTAAATTCCAGGAAGAGTTTGCCACTGTACAAGTCTCAGACTGAAACCAGAGCAAAAGGGTTTTTTTTCCAGGCTGACCATAGTGCACATCCCACTAAGTCTCCTCATGAAGAGAAAGATGGGAATTCCTACTTTGAAGCTCCACTGGAATTACGTTTTATGTTGTCCGGAATGGAATTATTTAATGCCTGGCTCCTCTACAGAATTATATGCAAATAGCAGAGTTTTGTCGTTGTGCCACAGATTCAGACTGTCTCAAGGATATTATTCTTTACTCCAGATTTTATTCATGAGAAGTAAGCATCGGCACAAACCTTGTCAAATGCTTCCTGGGAGGAGGAGCAGAATTTCAGGCACTCATCAATGAAGAGATTGAGATACCTTTGACGGATGTTTGTTGGGACTTTGGCACCAAATTCTGTGGGAATAACCGGCCTCTGTAAACTGGCGCTCTAGCGAAGAGAGAGGGAGAAAGATTATTTGGGCTTTGAGAAGTACGTTGCTTTGAGACTGTCACATGTCCTGATAAGTTATGAATAGTGGTATGATTTCCTTTCTGAAAATCTGCTCAAAGCTAAACATAATGTGCATCACCTTCAATCCCAAAAACACCACCTGAAACTTCTGTGCCCCCTTCAGTATTTTCACTACTTCAGAAAATAGTTATGTTTTATTATACAACTCAGAGCAGTCAATTAGCTCCAGTGGCATTAGTCATACACTATATTTACATATGCAAACATCCCAGACCTCGCAAATGATTACATTTACATTAAGAGGGTCAAGATTAGCATGGTGCCAAGCACCACACTGTTGATCGGAGACATGAACACGTGACACCAGCTACCTGCATGACAGACACTGGTTTCTTTTCCGTACCCTAACTGTAAAAAAGTGAGAACGGCAGGCCCACTTCTGCCAGGCTCACAGCCTGCTAAATCAGCACGCTTTCAGTGGGATTCCTGCAACCCAACTTCACTGCATCGCTTTCCTTTATGCCAGTCATGATGCTCCTGAAAGGATTTTCACCTTTAAATTGATAAACACATTCTTCTAAGCAATTATTGATGTACAAGAACCGCATGTTGGGCTGAGTTACGATCTACCACTGCAGTTTTCCATTTAGCATCAATTTATCTCCCAAATCACACAATTTGCCCCACCACTCATGGGGAAAGGAGAGATCTCTTTGCTGAGGAACTAGTAATAGAAGAAGCCAAAGGGCGGGCAGGTATTCAAAAGAGAAGATTTTTTTTCCCAAATATTAACTACAGCATGAAGTTAAAGTGATCACACTTTAACTATATAGTTAACGGGGAGGACATTAATCCAACCATTCCATTCCAACGGGAGAGAGAAAAACAGCTACAAACCTAGCCAGATAGCACAACAGAACACTCAAACTAAAAAAGGCAGATCAATATTCAACAAGATAAGAGCTGCATTTAAATATTTCTATCTTTTTAATCTCCTACCCCTCAAGTGCTTAATTTTTTTATGCAGTGCTATCTAGCAAAACTACAGGAAGAGAGAAACCCACTTAATCGACCTAATCAAACATCACTGTTCAGAGAGTGCCAAGTTTGCAGCAGCATGGTTAAACATACCACCAGAAAAAAAGAGGCTGCCAAGACAGATTTCAATTTTCTTTTACCTGTAAGGAGGGAACATGTGCTACCCTCTTCGGCATGGTGGTGCTGGTGGTCTTTGAAGCCATCCCAGCTAAGGTGCAAGCCTTCAGAGAAAGGGCGGGTGCTTCAGAGTCATTGGAAGGTGCGACATTCCTGCCAGGAACGATCTTCTTACCACCCACAGGGCCTGCAAGGAACAGAAAACATATTTAAGTAGAAATCCTATCACATGGCTCACTCCAGGTTGTCAGACTGATCTTAATATGAAAGACCCGTGCTGCAAGCTGTGATTTTGGAATGGGAGCCTGTCACTCCCCAAAGGGATATGAACTCAGTGATTTTACCATCTTGCAGGAAAGGATGAAGGAACCCCCTGCCAGGAAACGTGGGGGATTTTTTTGTTTGTTTGTTTTGTTTTTTGATTTGGGATAACTGAGTTAGCCCAGCTTAAAGAGCTAACGCTGCTAGCTACAACCCATTAGCTGCCCATCACGTCAGCTCTGAGCCCTTCCAACTACAAAGGGACACTGATGAGCATAAATTAGCGCTTCCCCCCTGTTCATGACACCTCCTCAAAGGCATGAATGGAAGACCAAACGAGGAGCAAACACTCCCCAAACAGAAGAAACAGGAAAGGAATAGAGCGAGGTAAGCGAGGCTGGGTGAGACAGACCCACCTAAATTGCCAAGAGGGAACAGGGCTGTACTTCTAGTCTGTTCCTTTTCAGAAAGTGATGGGATTTCTCAGGCCGGGGAAAGACCTGCCACTGGTCCCATTAGGCAAGGATTCAAATCACGGCCAATGCTACACATCTCCCATTAGTTTCGCATCTGGAACTTGGAGAAATTCAAACAGAAGGCAGTGTCTTTTTAACAGGGGGGAGGACAGGACAGGACAGCGGTTACATACCACACTGGTGGCTTACTTTGTTTGGCTGCTGCGGCAAGGGCTACATTTGGCACATGAGCAATCCTCTTCTTTTCTCCTGGCAAAGAAAGAGAGGCCTTTTGAACGGCCACAGCCAGCTGTGCCGCCTGCTGCTGAGCCAGCTGGATCCTCTGGTAACACACCTCCTGAGCAGTGGGGGGACGGTACGGCCGGACTACGGGCTTGCTCGGGACCTCTGCCTGCACAGACACAAAGGATTCTAGAGCCACCGCGTCCACTCGCTCAAGCCCTCACCCCTTCGGCTTTCATTCACCCGGAAAAGGTCTCTTTTCCTCAACCACTCTGTTAGCAGATACAGGTTTTTGAGAGAGCAGATCCCAACTGTCTTCCAGAATAAAATGCTTGGAGTTGCCCACCAAAACCAGTGACGTTAATTGCTCGGCCTCTGGCAAGGCCTCCCCAGCACGCTGGGATCTTCTTAAATCGAAGGCTGTATTTGAACTGCTATGTTTAAAATACTGCTGTGTTTAACGGCCAAGGCGCCTGTTCTCCATCAATGTGTCCAGTCACCTCTGGGACTCTGTCAAAACTCTCAGCTTCTACAGCATCTTGCACTAGACAATGAATCTGGCTCTCTGCTCCTGAATTTCATTGCGTGCTTCTCCAGTTTATGCAGCAATGAAAAAAATGAACAACCATTCTCCATTCACCTATGCTACATGATGCAGAATTTAACAGATTGCCTCCATTCCCTCTCTCCTTCAATGTCTTCCTCCTGCTTAAGAGCCTGTGCCATCTATCCTCCTATTAAAGCAGTTCCCCACCTCTCACCAGCCTTGTTTCCCTGCTCTCTAGCTTATATACCTATTTAAAAGCCTCAAATACACGTATTCATGGGATTAGAGCACAAGCCATTATATAAACTGAGCTCTGCATTTTAAACAGGCTCTGCCCCTGCCTACTTCTGGAAGCATTTCATTGCTTCAGCCATTACTGACACAACAAGTTACACACGCATTTTCTTTGATGTTCAAATTTAGGTTGCAGGAAAGGTGCCAGAAACGAAGTCAGCAAACAGAGAAGTTTTCTAATAGCAGAAGTACAAGAGAAGCAGTAGTAGTACAAACTTCCCTGCACCGCTTAATGTCCTTTGAAATCTCAGAAAGAGGCCTTCCCTCCCAGAACACCTTTGGAGCACAACACACTCACACAGCCCATCTGTAACACGGCGTTTCTAAGACAGCAAATTGTGGGCAAGCCGGCACCTCCTGCATTCCTGGTCTCTGATGCTGACACCACCTTCTGGAAACCAAACTGAGTGCAGTCAACCATTAAACAATAATTACAGACTTCCAAGCAGGAAAGGACGTTCATTTGCTGCCTCACCTTCCATTCCTTCAGCCCACTATTCCTCCTTGAAAATTAAACTAAAACTCAGCTCCCTTCCCTTCCAGTTGTTCAAGTCTTGCACTACAAAGAATGAGAAAATACCCTTGTCTTGGAGGTAACGTGGCAAACCACGAGCCTTAACTTTGCATGTAAAAGCAGTAGTTCAGGTCTTACGGCACCTCCTGAACAGAGTTGGCAACAGCAGCAGAGCCCAGCTGGGATTCTCCAGGGAACAAACGCTCTGGCGTGCGCAAGCACCAGCTGTTGCTCAGCACACCAGACCGCTTTCTGTTTGTCCGTACAATGACTGCACTGGGGCTCACATCTTTGGAAAGCATTTTGGGATCAGCTGTCACATTAAGAAAACGTATGTAAAGATTTGTACGCGTCTAAAAGGCACCTATTTACAATAAATATTTGAGTTAATGAATTTCCAACCCATTTGCTTCAGGCTCTTATCTCTTCGCTTTGCAAGAAAGGGTCCTTATCGAAACACACAAACTGGCTGAAGATATGTAGTTAAATAAAAAGCAAGTATTGACCTCAGGGCTTCAAATTATTAAAAGCAAAGAAACCTTTTCTAGGCAGAGAGGAAAGGAAGAACAATTAATTTGGGCTACCCAGCTCAAATCAGTGCTTAAGTCTCCACTGTTATCCTGCTGGAACATAAAACTGACTAATCTGTGCTCAGCACCTGGCGCGAAATACATTAAACCCTTAGTGAAAACATGAATTAAAATCTCAGGGAGAAATAGGAGGGAAAAAAAATCAGAATGCTTTTACGGCCTTTTTTATTATTCTCTGTATGTAAAGTACTTTCACAACAGTATCAAACAGGATACTGTATTGGTTGAATCAGAACAGATATAAACATGGGAGAGGTTTTAAAAATCTGAACAATTGCTACATCAGTCTTTTAGTTCCACAAGACAAAAAAAGAACACCATCAGACACAGGCTGACCTTGTATACAGGTAGCTTTTATCTAAGTGATATAATGAAGCTATACTGCAGAAAAATGAGCACCCCAAGCTGTTTCAGTGAGTTACAAGGTACAACATCCATTTACTCCTCTGCAGCTTCCCCTTGCTTTTAGGCAAGTTCATTAGAGTTTTGTTGCCAACTGTAACAGATGCTTAACTAAGTTTTTCAGAAACCAGAAAGAGGAAAGAAATCTGACATAAAAGGATTCCAGCACAAACAGTTCATACTTTACTGCCTAAACCTGGGGTCACATTGTTCTCCAGTGTTACAACAGGACAGAAAATCCTAACTTCAGATAAACTATACTTTTGCTCCCGAGAGCCGCACTTACATTTCCTTGTTTGACAAGATGAGAGATCCTTCTTTTTTGGCCAGGAAATAGAGTAGTTAAAGTATCTTCTGTCTTTTCTTCACTTCCTTCCTCTTTGGACAGCTGGAAAACAAACAAACAAGCTTCCAAAATTGAATAGCCTTGAGGATCCCTCTCCACAAAGAGATCTGAAGAGTGTCCCTCTAGGAGAACAGCAAGTCCTTGCAGGTAAGGACAAACTTTAATCAGCTGCTAAACTACTGGAAAAAAAAAAAAAACTAGTTTTGAACCCCAAAACCACCAGCAAAGCCACTGAATAGCAGCATTATTGTTCCCACCCAAGCAGCCTTTCCATGAGCTATACACTAAGCAGTTTTGGCATGATTCATTATGGGCTATTCCCCTAACTACCATGAAAGACTTTAATGACCTTCCCTTGCCAACCACTTACACATACCTTACCTTTTGTGGGACTCAAAAAAAAAAAATTTTTTTTTTTTCTGTAGGAACGTGGGTGTTGATTCACTCTTGCCCCACATAATGTGCTTTCAGAGGAGGTCCTGAAAACATGCCTGACACTAAACCACCATTCCCCTACTCCACGTTTAGGAAAACATTTCTCGGCAGTTTTACCCACAACCATATCTGCAGAAAGGCTGCAGTAACAACGACCCAGGTGATACGTTTGTATGGCCAGGAACCCAGGAGAAAACAACAGCATCCCTCCAGCTACAGATAGTTCTGAGCTATCGCCTCACACTTGTTGCTAGAGGGAGGGGAAAAAAAGAAAGAGCTCTGAAATATTCTTTGAATTTGACTTGGCTGTTCAATTATACAAAATACACTTCCTATGTTCATTTCTCAAAATTCCACCTGCTCTCCGGTCTACCTGCTCTCAATCTTGTTTTCAGTTTTCCAACATAGCCACTGGCAAAGCTCTGAACGGAGGCAAGACTGACAACCTCTAAGAAACTCAGAGATAGAGCTGAAGGCCAGATTTTGGGAGGAGCTCAGATTCCACTTAAAAGAGAGCTTGTTTACAAATGCATTCACCACAAAGACATTCTGGATGAGCACCTGTGAATCACTTAGCTCTCTAGGAACTTGATAAGTCTGTTAATTCAAGTATACCGCTAATAAACTCTCAAAACTCCGTCCTTCCAAGTGGAGAAGTACTGTACTGCTTGTATATACTTTTCCTCCAGGTTAGCGCATTACTGAGATCAGACCACATGGACTGCATCTGTAAAATTATTCCATAAACAAACCAAAAAAAAAAAGCTCAGTGACCAATTCTTCCCTCCAGAAAAGCAAAGGGCACGCAGGTAACTACTCACTGGCACCCATCACTCACATGACCTCTCCCCTGAAATGTTTGTTCTGCCTTTTCCAAAATGGGGAAATTCCATTTTAGTGCAAAAATATAAGGTAAGGCATGAGCAAAGGCCGTTTACCATGGGAAACGTGCAGGGCTGCTGACCATTCCCACTACATGCCAGAACGAACAGTTTGAAGTGAGCAGCAGCCCTTGGTTCAGTGCTTTCTGATCTCAGAGCGTTTTGAATCATTTCGTATTTCAAAGGCTCTAAATTGGTAAATATTTCCCACCATAAATTGTGTGCCCTTAAACTATTTTCACTTAAATTAGACAATTTGAAGAAATAGCCAAAGCCCACAATAAAACACTCTTTTCTAGCGGGGTATTACACTAAACACCAAAGAAAGAACACCTCAATCTTAAACAAGCAAATCACACCAGAAGAAATTGGTTCTTGACCATTCATGGTTTTTGACCATCCCGCCCCTCTTCCAGGTTAATAATCCCAAAGAGAGTTTAGTTCTGTGCAAAGGTGTCTAAACTGGAACACACTGGAGGCCCTGGTGGAGTCCCTGCACCTCTGATATCTTTGGGATGCAATATCCAGCAGGATGCAGGAGGAAATACAATTGCAGGTGAAGATGCTCAATAATTCCCTGGATACTTAGAAGCACTCATCCTTTGGTACCTTGTGTCCCACAGCTCACAGGGGGACAACCCAATTTTGCCACCTCGTCCCATTAAGCCTCCTGAGTAATAGAGCCGACTCAGCTACCTCAACACCTCCACACTGCAGTCCAAACTGCCAAACAGATAACACTAGTGACAGGTTTGGGATGTTTTCTCAACGCAGCCAAACCTGTCACTTTTTTCTTTTTTACAGTTGCTTCCAGTCTAATTCCTCAAAACACCCCCTCTGTATGCAAGCAAAATCATCCCAACCAGAAAACCTGAGTGTGTTGACAGCAAGTCAAACAATCCTGTCCATTTACGGGCAGTTACTCCCGGAATTGAAGGTTTGCTCTTGTTGCTCAGTCGAACTCATGTGTCAGAAGATGAAGGATGAGCTTTGCTTGCTCCGACTTCCCTGTCTCAGGGGCTGTTACAGGATCACTGCCAGCAACAACTTTCTATTTTTTTCCCCCCCTTCGCTCAGTTCCAGGCTCTTGCACCTTCTGGGGACCACCTCAGTCACTGGTAGAAGCCTCCTTAGCTAGATGCTTTTTAGCTCATTCTTCCAAAACCCCTGATACCTTTCAAAGCAGTTCTGCCCTCTGTTTCTTCATTACACCATCTACACTGAGATCCTCACAAAAGAATTGCAGTAAGCATTTAGAATGGGAAACAGTACTTCTGACAGGCTCTGAAGCGTCCACTAGATAACTGCCCAGTAAGCCTTGAACGGCCAGCTTGAGCTGACACAGTGGAAGTGAGTAGCCACCCCTCCGCAGGGATTCTTTCGACTCCATGTGTCCCTCACGCCATGCGAAGAGGAGTCAAGCTAGTCCTCATCCCTCTGCAGAGGGCTTCCCTCATTCTGCCCTCTCCTCTAGCGAAGGGCAGCAATACCCTTACCGCAGAGAAGCAGGAGAGGCTTGTTCAGATAGTAGTTCAGAGTAACTGAATTCAATTCCCACCTGCCCTTAAGGGTTGTTTTTCTCCATCAACACAAGGAGCCTAGAGAGATAAACCTCGCTTGCCTCGATTTCACCTTTGTCTATAATTCATCTCTATCAGTGCCAACTACCCCGGCTTAATTGCATCAAAACATTCTCCTGGTTCTACCTGCTACTGAGCTCCCTAAACTATGTTGCAACAAGGAGGCATTGCCTGGATTAACGAACCCAGATTAGCTCTGAAAGCCCCATGAAATACACTTTGAAGCCCTTTCTGCAGCAATCCAGGCAACCACAGTTCTTAGACCAGATGGAGACAGAAGTAACTGATAACCCTGAAAGGCAAAGGCCTCCCACACTGAAGGTGATTAAACCCTTACATCTCACAGCAGCTTTCAGCTGGTGGCAGGAGAAGGCACTTTCTTGCAGCTCAGGTTCTGAGTTGACATAGTAGAAAAGAGAAGCAGTAACTGACTTCTCTCCTACCCTGCTGTCTACTGTTCCTGTCAATCCAGCAGGTACAGTCAGGTGCAAACTCAGTCAGGACAGGGATGGGATTCTTCCAATACGTGAAGTCTCCCTCCGTAGCTTTCTCCAGCTATTTGAAATAAGCAATACCACTAAACTAAACCAGGATCCTTTCAGCGCTTCGCTTTGAGAGAAATAACAAAGCAGAACAAGCATTACCTGTTTCCTCAGCCTTCCCTTGTCTTCAGTTTTCACATCTGTAGATTCATTAAAAATCCTGAGGCACTCTTCCATTGGATCTGACTCAAAGTCCAAGTCTTTCTCAAGTATGGAATAATCAATGTCATCAGACGTTGAAGAAGAGGAAGATGACTTTGACAATTTAGAGCGCTTCACACTCTTTGTCTCTTCATTTTCACTCTGAGAGTCCGAACAACAGTCACCACCATCTGAGTCCGAGCTCACATCAAGCAACGCAGACGGCAAAGGTTGGCCTTTGTCATCATCATCCCCGCTCTCATCTCCAAACAGGTCAACATGACTCAAGCTCCGTTGCTTCCGACCCTTCTTTGGATCCCCTTTTTCTTTAGAACTGATCTTTTCTTTCTTTCGTTCCAGTGCTGGAGCCTTGGTCCCTTTGTCTTTGTTTTTACGACCAGAGGTTTCCTTGCCATTTTTCAAGTCAGCTGTTTTTACTTTGGAGTCTTTCTTGCTGCTCCCCAGCTTCTCTGTGCTAGAGCTTTTGATGATACCCTCATTCTTATTTTTCCCTGAACTGCTGCCAGGGGACTTGGATCTTTCTTTCTTAAGCCCATCCACTTTTTCCGACTTTGGCTTTTCAGGTTTTTTTACATTCCCATCAGTTTTGACTTTGCTACTTTTCTCTTTACAGTTTTTCTCCTCGTTTTTTTTTACCTTTTCTTCTTTCTTGAGCATTTTATCTTTTTCTGTATTTTTACTTTTCTCTTTCTTACCAACCTCATAGAGGCTAGGCGTTTTACTAAGATCTGATTTCTTCTTTTTTGTTTTGTCTTTCGAGTCTTTGTTTTTATCTTCAAAATCCTGGTCATTCTTGCCAGAACATATTTTTGCTGCTTTTGCATTCTTTTCTGATACGTTTTTAGCAAGATTTTTCTGTGAACTTGGACGGTCTTCCATGTCATATTGCACTGTCATTTCTTTGATAGCCTGGGAAGCTAAGTCATCCAGTTTGGTGCTCTGCTCTTTGTTGGATAACCCATCATTTGATTCACTTTCAGAATCAACTTTTGATTGTGAACTAACAGAAGTCGGCTTATATTCCGCGTCGGCCTCATCTTCAGAGGAAGAGAACCTGGCATACACTTCATAGTCATCGGGTTCTTCACAGAGCTTCTTTGGTGAAGGAGAGTAACATTCTTCATAACTAGGCACCCTACTCCTTTTAGACCCCTTTGGCTCCTTTGTTGTGGCTTTGCTCAAGAGTCTGGCTGAGTAATTTGAAAGCGGGTCATATTCCAGGTCTGTAGAAGGCTTGGAGTCATCGATCACATATTTATTGTTAGTGACAGTGCAACTGTATTTTTTAGTCTGTGCTACAGCCTTGGGAACGTATTCCAATGAGCTACCTTTAGATCGGGAAGTATCCAAAGTGTATTTACTTGATTGGCTAGCAGCAGCTAGAGGAGTAGGGTTGTAGTCTGGGCTATTATTTAAATTGTAGCTACCTGGATTATACTCTAAGGAAATGAAAGCATCAGTTTCTGTCACAGCAGCTGACATGGGTGTTTGGGAAATAAGCGAAGAGGCTTCCGAAGTGCCAAATTCCTTTGTTGTTTCTAACAGCTCCTCATACTTTTTCTGTTCTCTCTCAACTTCATTTTTGACTGCCTCAATGGCTTTGTTGACCAACTCCAGCTCCAGAATGCCGGGCGTCATGTCTGTAACGTCAGCCAAGCCACCGTTCTCCACTTGCAGCGAGGGCCTCGGAAGCTCTGGATTATAGGGATCATAGCCACGTTCTGTAAAGGAGAAGGAAAAGTAATGTACAATCAGTAATTTAGGTTAAATTTTCTTTGGAGTAAAATTAAAGAAGAGTTTAAGGTCCACTCTCATCAAAACCCTGTACTGAAAGACACTACAGAAAGCCGTGCTGCAGCCACTACAGAGTATACGTTTGATACGGAAAGTCATCACTTACAATTCTTTGGCTGGTGGCAGGTACGTAGCTAGACTGGATTTTACAAACTATTCTCAGGCCTTTATTGACAAAGTCCTTTTATTACTCATGCAAAAGCCCTATAAATGAAATATTCTTTGGAGTATTAAAGGATAATCACTGCATTAGGACTAAGAGGAACTGAGTATGTGTAGTATTATCTGCCTAATTCAACGGAGTGAGCAAAGAAGTATAGAGGATTCTAGTATAAAGCTTGTGGATTAGGTTCCCATTTATTGATGCCAATGCCCACGGCCCACTGAAAGACTACAATCTTCACTTGAAGCTCAGTATTTCTTGTGGTAGCAGCAAGAAAACAAGTCTTACTTGAGCTGACAAACTCTTTGCTAATTAAAAAAAACCTACTCTACAAAGGCAACACCACTGCTCAACTGCATAGAACAAAATCAAAACAGGAACATGAAACGCTCAGAACTCCAACTTGACATTTCTCTTCTCACACAACTCCATTAGGTAGCTTACCTTACACAGATATTTATAGGACTATGAACAGAGGAATATCTGAGCACACACACCCTCTCAGTAATCACCACTAGGCCTGCAATGCCTCTGTTCCATTTTCTCTTTTACAGATGAGTAGAGAAGAATTGCTGAGAAGGAATTTACCCCTGAGTGTTTTGATGTCTCTCACAAACTAGTTCGTTTATTGAAGTAGGAGCAAGTGCGTTTGCTTTCAAAGAAAAGGAAGAGAGCGAGACAGAACCCTTGCAAGCAGGGGGCTCACGAAAGACCAAACTCTGAAACCCCATACGTAGTTTCTTTGGAGAAACTTTCACTGTCTTCTCCTCCACCCTGTCTGCTCACCCTTCTCTTCCCCCTTGCCACTGCCTCCTCACTCCCCTGATTTTGCTGCTGGCTCCCCTTCCTGCCTGCAACCTCCATCCCTTTCCACTCTGGCATGCAGATTAATAAGTCTGACTGACCTTATTTACTGGGCTCTGCTCCATGCTTCATGAGTGATGTTGCAGCCCCTCACCAGAAAGGTGAGATCCTCAGCTGGGACCAGTACTACAGCCAGGGCACGTATTTCCTTAGCAATTAGGTGATCAACAATGACACTAACGAGGGGTATGAGGGGTATTACAGGGATATTAATGGAAGCTCTCGCAGGAATTCCCAACTACCACCTGACTCAGGAATAAACTATGAGCTGTTTATCCACATGGGTTTCTAAGAAATGAATAAAAGCTCTATATTGCCATGAGTCTCCTGAAACAATGACAGCAGTCATCCAGGAAAAGCTTGCACATTTTATACTGAAAGAAAGGTGTATTTTAGAAGAAAAAAAGAAAGGTTTGCTCACATATTCAGAAACCTCCCAGGTAGAGCCTGGAGCTCTACAGGATGAAACCCATTGTGTTTTCATGCTGCTGGCTCAGCAAGGACACCAAAACAAGGCAGCAAAATCAAGAACTGGGGTGTGTGCCAGGCATCTAAGTTTTTTTTAATATGCCATGGGCTCAAAATTAAACTGCAGCATGTTCTATTTTCATAGCATATGTTTATTGCTTATGATCAATCACAAACATGAAAGAGAGACAAACCCATGGCAATAATCTCTGAAAAGCTAAAGCTGTCATCCTAGGCTGGTGCTTTCAAAATGCTTCTGTTCTGGCTTGCGGCTGGCTGACCAATGGATATGAAAACATATGAAAAAAAATGTGGAAGATGGAGCCCCTCTAAAGCCCCAGAGGACAAAGGACACACTCTGGCCATGCTGTAGGTCTCTTCGGACCACAGCTCCACAGCAGAGCTTTTGGGGAGTGATGGTCCACCCTATGGAACTAGTATGGACATGCTTAAGTAACCGATTTAAGGGATTGTTTACAGCTGGCGAATCAATTGAAGCTCATCTTCTAAAGCTTATCTTGACAAGAGCACAGAAACTGTTGTCACTAGTATAAACGCTCTCCACTTTCTGCCACGCGGTCCCAAACTCTGCCATCTACCTTTCCAACTCATGCTGAAAAGGAAGGGCTGAAGTCATTCACATGCACGTGCACAGTGATAGGCATCCTGCTTTCAAAAGAACAGGGAGGAAAATAACTTCCTCTTGGAAGATTAGAATAAAGCCCTTTAGCAGCAATACAGGAACCTAGCAATAGAAATGACTCAAGTTAACAAAGTATCAGAAGTTACAGGTAAGTTAAAAGCTGCTTTTTGACTTTCAACAGCTTTCACTACTTGTTTTATCATAGTGTCTGAATGCCGACTATTCCAGAGGAACTTTTTGTCCTTTGCTAGAAGGATAGCAGTAAAACTGTCTTACTAATGTGAATATGTAGCAGTAAAACTGTCTAACTAACGTGAATATGTAAAAGAACAAAACAACAAACGGAGAGAGAAAATATAGGAAAAACCTCTCAGGTCCAATAAGGAGGAGAGAGTTTCTCATGACAGACAGAAACTGGGTGAAAATAAAGGCACTGGGTTCATAAAACTTTTTACCCTCTTGGGATTGCAAAGTCTTTTTTCCAAACCAATTAGATCCTGATTGAGCAGGGACTCTGGGCAAACACAGCATGATGTCACCGTCTTCCAAAACAACCTGCACTGTGTTCAGGATCAGAAATGTGGGAAAGAGGAACAAGCTTGCTCCCCCTCAGCTATTCCAGAGTGCTTTACAACCAACACACAGAGCAACTTCCGAAATGCGAAACCAGAACATCTCAGAGGATGACATACATGGGACAGACTCATACCCAGAGACTGCTTAGAAACAGGAATCATGAAGAAATGCAGATAGAAGGGGAAAACCAAGAACTAAAGCAGATGCAAACAGCTTCATCGAGACAAGTATATACGAACATATTACGAAAATAATAACCATTAACCTAACAGCTGAAAATGAACTGTGAGCCCTCCACATACCCTTTCTCCTCAATCTCCACCTCAGTCCTCATCACCTCGTGAAACATCAACTCTACCACTACAGCAAATACCAGCAAAGTGATGGTCTGGAGGAGTCAGCTATTACCTTCTAACTCAAGATGGAGACCTAAAATTTGGCACAAGTGTTGTTAAAAAGTGGAGAGCCTGGCAATTTGTTCAGAGAGAAATATGAGGTCGCTAATAAATAGCTGTGAAAATGCACAATTTGAATCTGAACTCTTCTCGGAAAGAGACTAGTGAAACTAGACAAATGGTGTCACATCCACAGAGAAAAGCAAAACTATTTTAAATGCATCAGAATATACAGAAAGTAAAAAAACAACCTGAGCACTGGCTCCAGGGTCCTAACAAGAAAACATAAACAACAAAATTGTTCTGTATACAAACGAGAATAAGCAATACCAGTACAACTGCATCTAAGCCGGAAGCTGTACCAATACATCTACTAGCTTAAAAAAAAAAAAAGTTGGTAGCAATTACTATTCTGATGCAAAAAAAAAAAAAAAACAACAACCAAAACCTCTGCCTAGATCAGGTTTTCCATGTAAGTTGTCCTATTCTCTTCTGTTCATTTAAGGTATAAAGCTAACCTGCCCATTTTCTTTCAATGGAACGATCAGTTGTAAGATACATAGTAAACCTTGAGAATGCCAGCAGGCTTTACAATATCTTCATGAAAGTGCTCTTTTGTAGGTATGTAGGAGGCCTGATGGATTACCCAAGTGAAGCTGATCAAAGGATACATTTTCCCTGAAAGTAAGCGTAAGTGGGCTTGTGTAAGTGGGCTCCACGATACTAATTAGGACTGTTACCTGGCCATGATGCATTTGCAGATAACGTAGTGGAAACACAAGCAGAAGGGGATTTTATATACAGAAATCCATATATGTGTGTGTGTTATATATTTATATATATGTGTGTGTATGTAATTTTATACCTACACAGATCCCCAAAGTCAGAAAAATTAAATATGCTATCTGAAATCAGGCCACCCATTTAGATGCCTAATTAAACTCCTAGGAACCTAGGACAGAAAAGGACCTCTTGGGTGCCTGAGGCAGGTTGCACACATGTAGGCACCATGCTCATGCACACATAACTTGAAATAATTTAGATGGAAGATTCAAAGGAATCTTCATCAGCTTTTGCATTTATTACTCTCCATTTTAAACATCAATATGAAGACCTGCACTGTAAAAAAAGATTACTACAAAATGAATTATGCTGTTTCTGCTATTCTGATATACAAGATGTCTACAGTATTTCTGCTGAAGCAAAATGAGTAGATCAGAGAGATCAGTGAAATAACTCTCTTCAACTGATGTAAAACTGAGATTCCACCCTCTCCTTTGAGAATCACAAGATAATGAGACTTGAGATGATAACTCCTCATAGGACTGTTAACAAAGCTGATCAGTACACTCTTTAAAATGCAAACTATTTTAATAAATTAATGCACATTAGAAATATAAAATAGTCCTCCTGAGACACAAAAAGGTGAAGTTAAACATCAACACCATGAAAAATAAGTTACTAAGAATTTATATAGGACCTAAGGGAACAATATACTTAAACTAGAACTACTTTAGAAGATAGCAACGCTGTCCAAAATGAATCCCACTTACATCAGCTGCTTCAGCAAAAATGATACAGAAGCGTAAAACAAGCTTCTCCTGAAACCCAGGTTATAGTTATGTTGGTTTTGGAAAATTAGGCCTCAGTTCTAAGGTGGAGCTGCTTTATTACAGAGCTTCCCTAAGCTAGAAACTCTTTGCTGTACACTGGTCCTTCTAGTTTTTACAACAGGCAAAGATAGTAAACACAGGCTGACATTAAATGAATAACAGGAGGCATTCAGTACAAGGTCATCTGTTGGATGTTAAAACTTATTTTACAGTGAATCATTCTGCAGAAAAAGACGTGCTTTTTTTTTTTTTCCCAAGCATCCTAATAGAGCACGTACTTAAGAAGCTTTATAAACACAATAGCCCTGATGAATGTCCAACACCAGTCATTTTAAACCTACAGATTTTGGAAGAAAAGGCAAGCTTTTGCCTGCAAGTAGGACAAGGATGATAACTGTCTTGCTTCCACATATAACACCAGTCAGAGTTGCTAAGCAGCAGCTGCTGCTGCTAAAGAAAAGGGAGATAAAAATTAGAAACTTTCAAATGCGTGACAATTCAAGTCTCAAAACGGAAAGGTTTGCTGGCCAAACTGCAGAAAAGCCAGCAAAAATATGCCAAAAGATGGCAAACAAACTCAAGACTCTCTGCTGTAGAAGTTACCCGTTTTCCTGAGTCACTGGAGCTGGTAACAAAGGGTGCATTCAACAGGAGGAGAATATGGTGAAAGTTGTCAGGAGACCTCTTTGGAAAAAAAAAAAAAAAAAGGCTTTTTTTTTTTTTAAAACGCCGTCAGAACAGCTCTGTTAGCTTAACAGCTTGCCTATGTTTACAGTGTCAGTACTGAGCAAATGGACAACCTTTGCGATTACAGAAAAATTATCACCGTTGGAAAATTATTTTAAGCTTTTCATTTAATACTTCACAGAAGAAGAGATAGTGGTTTCTCAAGGACAAAATGTTTCAAAAAGGCTTTCACCAGCAAGCTGAATTTTGCTATTTTTCATTATTAAACAGTGCAAAAGAAATGGCAGTTTTGAGCTCAGATCTCATTTGTGAACACCCAAATTTCTAACAGTTTAACAATAATATCTAACCACTTAAAAATAACAAACATTGAGATTTAAAATAGTACATTTCAACCAATTATCCCGAGTAAATGAGCTAGGAGGGCATGTAAGAGGAGCTAAGAGAAATGTTTCTTCCACTTTAAATACAGCCATAGCCCTAAGAATGATTTTGTGCTCCTTTTTAAAATACTAAATTTAATTATTAAAATTAAATAATAAAGATATAGGTGACCTTGTGCTATAGAACACAAGGGCAGCAAGGTTTGTAGGGAGAGGTATTTCAGCTGGTCTAATGAAAGTTGAGTTCTACCTACATGCCCCATCCCTTGCGGTTGTTATTCCTTTAGGGGTGTTTGACGCAACAGCATCAAAGCACACTATGAGCCAACACGGTCATTTCTTTAGTGGAAAAAAAAAAAGGAAGCAAATAAGAGAAAAGAAAGTCTTATATTAGCAAGGCTGAAAAAAGTCTGAGCAGTCATCCATCACACTGCGATATTTTTAAACCTGCTGTGACAAAGCCTGCTTAAACCAAGGGTATAGTTTCACCAGATGTTGTCAGCCAACGTAAGGGTATGGTTTCACCAGATGTTGTCAGCCAACATAACAGCTCACTGCCGCTGAAAGACCATCTCAGTGAGTTCAACTGGTTCAACAGAGGGTCTTATGAGCATCCGATCCAGCGTACAGAGGGGCTGACTGTGCCCAAGGACACAAGGGGCCAGGCATCATCCTTTTACAAGCAAAAAGCCACCCTCTCAGCTCAGCAGCCCAAGGGTGCCAACACGTCATGGCCAGAGAGGAGCCGCACATCCGCCCAAGGTTGTTCAATCCACTAAGGGAGCAGTTGACACATGGCCCACATCAAACCCAAACGAGCAGTGTTCGCAGAGAACAACTCACTACAGTCAGAAACTCATTTTGATTGAAACAGGTTAGGGAATACCCCAGAAAGCAGCTCAAAAACTAACTTCTGTGAAGAACAGCGCACAGCCCCTACATTTATTCAAAAAAGCTTGACTTTGTACAGTTTTGTAAATAATGAAAACAGCCAGCAGTTCAGCTTCTTTTCCAACTTCTTGGCCTACTTCGGACAGGCACAAAACCTTTCATTCCTTTTCACATGAGCAGCCGGCCAGAAAATGAGTACTTTGCACCTCGCAAAAGAAAGTCAGGGTACCTTTACCAACAGCGCCCCAGCTCTGTTTGTCTCTGGTTCAGTGGAGGGCACATCTAAAAGGTATCTGAGTCCACTAAGTATCATAGTTTCACTTTCTTGATAGCTTCACAGATAGTACTGGAGGGCAGTTGGGACCTCCAGGGCTTCTACAGCAACACTATCTAAATCCAAGGATGCAAGATGCAAAACAACACGGTCAGGCCCATGCAAAAGCAATCATTTACATTCCTCTGCTGCTGCAGTGATTTAAATAGTCCATCTGCTCTGGTGGTGCAAACAACAAGGATAGACAAAGAGCATCAGAGTAATGTCAAAACCCGTGATAAATCTAGTATTTTCCAAAGGGGGAGGGGGGGAGGAAATCACACACTGCAGTATTTCTTCTTTAATCTAGGAAAGAATGTGGGAAAAAAATAAATATCTGGCATATTTACCTGGAGGAAGACAAAAAGGAAAGGTCAGTATCCAAAATACCACGATTGGTGCCCAGGCTGCCACCCCTACCCTGCAGTCTGTCATCGCACGCAGGCTATAAAGTATCTCACCGTTTTAAAACTAACGATAGATGAATCTGGATATTCAGTGTTTAGATTCTTTGAAAATCTTTCCATTGCCTCTCTCATTTTAAAGATATTCCTCAGTATTACAAGAAAAGCTGAAATTATGTTTGGGGGGGAAAAAAAAAAGAAGAGAGAGAGATTTAGTCTTTCTGTTTCCAGGAAAAAAGACTGGAAAACATTTTCACGTCTCTTGTACAAGTACTAGGTAAAAATAAGGATCTATTTCAAAACTTAATTAGTAGAGTAAGTATTTTCAAAGACAACAAAAGAAAAAAAGAAATACTTCAAGTATTCTGGTGTCTTCTTTTTTCCCTATTTAACTCTGCCTTGAAAACTTACTTTTACCAGCATGCCCACAAGATGTAATTCTACTCCTGACCTCCTAATCCCTTAAATTTGCAGCCTTTCTCTGGCTCGCTCAAGATAACTTATCTTCTCACAGTACCTGTCTTATTTCTTTAGCTATTTACACTAAAGGTTTCCCATTTAAAGAAAAAAAAAAACAGTATTTCAATAAAGTCACAGCTGGACACTTTGAAAAAATCAAAAACTAAAGAAAAGCCCCTTTTTCCAAGCCATATCGCATGTAAAAACTTCAGCTGTGACTTATGAAGGACTAAAAATAAAACTTAAACTGGTTTTAAAACCTGTCTGGCTTTAGTTAACTCAAAAGCCTGTATGAGAACTTTGCAGCTCCTTTACAACTCAGACACCTGTGGCTTCGCAGACTCCTTAAACCAGCTAACCCAACACACTCCCTGGCTTTTAGTACAGATCCTCTCTTTAATAAAAAGACTAAATCTCAGAGAAATTAAAATCCTTGGGATAGCTAAACCCTCCAGAGGATAACCGAGTTTCTGCAGCCCGTACATTTTAGACCCAAATTTCACTCTGAGGACACAAGTCCCACATTAAATGAATGGTTAACACGTGAAAGCCTGGCCGGAGAAGGTATTTCTCCCAAAACTACTTCTTCACGTACCACAACCTACACAGAAACACCAGCTAACTCCGCAGAAAGTCAAAAACTTCAAAGAATTACCTGAGCTCCCCGTGGTTAATAAATATTGCAGATATTTGTTCATGCTGTACTTGAGGCTTTTAATATCTGCTTGGTACGGCTAAGAAACTCCAGCAAAGGCTTATGGCACAATACCGCTGACCACGTGCTGACACAGCACTTTCTGGGCTGCAGAGATAATTAGGGCAGGACTTACCAACCCCAAGTCCCGCCTTCACCCTCATTTACTCCAAAGTCAGATTGGTTCTTACTTCAGGTTCTGCAGGGGTTTTTTTGACCGTTTTTTTTTTTCTTTCCTACTTCTGTTACTATCATCTTGGGTTTTTGTTTCTTTTTTTTTAATCTTTAGGGTTTTTTTCGTACTGTACACGCTGCATTTTGCTCGATTCGAGCAATGCAAATTGGCGAGCGCAGCGGTTTCTCAAACGCTGATCCGCGGGGATTCACAGGGCCACCCCACGTGGGGTGCTTCCCCACCAAAGCCTAACGCTACCCCACTTCTCCACGCAGCTAACACAAGTGCTCCAAGCACGCGGAGCCCGCGAGCTCTGGACATCGTCGGGAGGCAGGAGGCTGCAGGGCAGGGAGGCGATGTGGACCTGCTAGTTGGTGCGTGCCCAGCTGCAGCCCAGCACTGCCGCCTCTCCGGTACTACGTGAGCCGACACGCCACACCGGCGCGTCCCATCCGCCTCACCCACAGGACAGGCCCATCTGCTTCTCGGCAGCCTGGGGAAAGTGGTTTTAGGAAACCCTCAACTCATGGATTTTGCTTTCTGCTCCTCAAGCACTAGCACAGCACTGCAGCACTTGACTTGCGGAAAAATCAGAGGAAGCGTTTAAGTGTCAGGCAAGATTATTCCACGTTGCAAAGAAACGTCCCTAGTTAAGAGCACGGGAAAAGACTCCCTGCAGTGGGTGGAAGCGAGCGCTGGGAGCCTTGCAAACAGTGGCACCTCCAAGACCTGAGGAGGTTGCTGCACCTTTAGTATTCCAAATCCTTCCAGCAGAAGTCGAACAAGGAAGATTTGCTCCCCCCTCCCAAATGTGCTGCTTTGCCACACATCTGTAGCATGAGAGATAAAGAGCTGAATGCAAACTCACGGCCAAGGAGCCACCACGGAGCAGCTGCTCCAAGTCTCCCTGCAACCACACTACCATTTGCAGAAAGACCAAAAGTCAGAAGCCCTCTGCTCTGTAAGCCCCCATGGGAATCTGGACATGTACAACTGCTACACCTGCACATCGGCGTTAACCCATTATAACTGACAATTTCAACAAATGACAGGAAACCTCTGACTACTGGAAGGCTGTTACATTGATTTAAATGAAAAGATATGGCCTGACCTCATACTCAGGTGGGCTTTCTATTTCAAAACTTACAGTTAAAGTAATTACCCACAAGCAATACTTTGGTAATTACTGTCCTAAACGCTAATAGGTAAAAAAAGAAAAAAAAAAAGAAAAAAAAAGCAGCAGTCTTAGCAATGCCTCCCACACATGCAGTTCATTGAGTAGAGCTTCTATCACTGAACTACTCAATTTCCTCTTTTAGTGAGGAAATACAGAAGAGAGTTCAGAAGTTCCCATTTCTGCTCATTCCATTTCCCTGTAGCAAATAAAAAAAAAAAAAGTCTTCCCTACAAGAAGCCAATCTTGCACTACATCAACTACAAGAAGGAAAACACATTTGTGAAAGATTTTTGTCATCCTTTCTACACATGGGTTGAACCTGCACGGCAATATAAGTAATACGAAAATCCCAGACAACATAGAAAGGCTGCTCGCACAAGACGCTGCTGAATTTAACATGCAGCCCATCAGCAATGTGCTATATAAGGAACCTGGCAGATGTAGGAGATGACAGCCCTGATCCTACAGACAGCAATGCATGGGCTGAAGATGATTAAAGTTGGGGTTTAACATTTACGGATTCACTTCAGGTTTTAACAAATATCCTTGTGCCCAGCATTTTACATACAAGTCACAGCCGTCCTGCGTGGTTGCTTTTCAGCTGAGGGCTTTGAGGAAGAGGGAGACAAAGTGCCTTGCTAAGCACTGACTGCATCAGTGACAGAATCAATACAAAGTTAAACCTGGGGAGATAAGCCCAAGGACTTCTCTACACCTGACCTGGGCAAACAGGAGCTAAATGGTATTACAGCAGCTTACTCATGGGCTGGATAGCATAAATCACAGAGGTTTAAAAAAAAAAAACACACTACGCGCTAGCTGGAAGGTACCTTTCAAACATGCAGATCTAATCTGCAAAAGCCTTGCAGTCCAACTATAAAATCCACAGAGCAAGAAAACCTCTCCTCAGTCATTGGACCATATGAGAAAACTGCTGAATACTTGCCAATATGCACAGTTGCAGGGTAACTATTTCAAGGCAGGGTGCTGAAAGGCCAGCTCTTCCCATCTCATGCTAACATTGGGATTAGAGCAAGCAAAGATGAACTCACAGCTCCAGACCTGGATGCAGCTTTCTGGGTTTAGAAAACATCCCTCTCTTAAGCACATCCTGATGCCACTATCAAAAAAAAAAAAAGCAAACAAACAAAAACCCTAAAAGCTAGGTTTCCTTAAGATACTAATGAAGAGATGTATTATGCTTCTTTTATGTCTTTCAGCATACTCAGGACCTAGACTTGAAGGAGAGGAGAAAACCTATTTGGTTCCTCCACAGCTCTTGAAGAGCCACTTTTAGGATTGAAGGCAGTTCTTCCCTCCTACTTACACAGCATGCTTTCAAAGCACTTCACACGTATTCAATAATCTTTTTATCCTGCTCTGAAGCAGGTGGATTTTAGTCATTTTGTAGATGGAAAAAGCACTTTAGCCAAGTCAGGATTACAATTCACAGTCCCCAGCTTCCCGATCCTGCACACACTGCCACCCCATTTCTCAGCCCACCTTGCCTTGGAAACACATGGGCACTCGCTATCGCTCCAGCACCTTACTCAGCTTTCAGCTGGCACTGAATTGCTACAAGCCTCCAGGTAGCAACACTCTTTTACCACATAGGCAAACACTTCTAGAAAATACATTGGCAAATACTTTCAGTAAATACATTGGAACAGGTTTCCCACACAAGTTACTCGTATGCTCCAGAACCTCGTTCAAATGTGCCCTATGGACCAGACATGTTACACCAGTTCTTTCCTCACCTGGCAAGTTTTCATTTACAGAGCTGCTTTCAGATGGGAAGAGGGAATGCCTGCCACAAGCAAGCAGCAGCAAAGGGAGGAAATTTCAACCCTCCTGCTGGAGATGATCCCCTAGTAGGGGCACAGCTTCTTCACCGTTATCCCTCAGTGGCTGGAGCCACAGAGAGCACTGTGCAAGAAATAAAGATCTTCTATATAACAGACATCTGAACACCATGCTCCCCACCAAGTCCAGCATGGTGATGAGGACAAGGAGACGGAGACGAGTACTACACCCAGCTATTTCTTCTTCCCAGCTCCTCTCCATCTGGCACCTATCCATGGCCTCCTCCCACCAAATTCTGGCAAGAAAGTCTGACTCTTGTTTTCAGAAGCCACTGACCACCTGTGGCATGAGAGTTGAACTCTTTAGGACCAGTAGCTGAAGACCTACAAAAAGTTTTGAGGTCACTGCTAGTCCCAAGCTGATGCTCAAAGTCAACATCAGCCTCAAATCAATATGCTTTAACAGGGTGGTTCTCCAGATGTTAACCTTTTCTCTAGGCACTATGCCAGAAAGCATAGATCTGCACTGTAGCTCTTGTTGTAGGTCCCTACCTGCTTTGCCAAAAACATGATTTTAAGGTTTATTTATTGAGCAACACGATTAAATAGGTTCAAAATGCCCAAATGTACTATTACAAGGCTACTTAAAAAAAAAAAAAATAAAAGACAGGGAGCTTCACTGACAGGGAACAACTTCTGTTGGAATGAGAGCCTGCTTTCAAGAAGATGGTTGCCTGCTTGCTAGCTAAACTACTACACCCTCTAGTGTATAACTTAAATACATCTGTCCAGGCTAGATCAGCTTCAGGCAGGCAGTGGAAAAGGCAGGATCACTTAATCTGGACCTATCAGAGGAAGCTAAGCCATAGTACTGCTTAAAAATAATAGTAAAAGTGTATTTTATTCCTGCAGACATCAGACACTTTATATAACATGCCTGAAGTCCCTTCTAAAAGATCGTGCTTTGCAGCAGATTCATAACTCTCATTTCTCAATCCAAATTAACACAGAAAAAATGGCTCAAGTCCAATGCTATGCTGAGAGAGAATTTAGAGATCCTTGGTTATGACAGCCAGGCTTTGTATTAGATGCCAAAAGCTTCGGAAAGAGGGTAGGGGCATGTGTTGAGACTCCTAAGCGGGAGTGGGAGGCAACAGGCACAAAGTTAAGACTAAAGGACCCTGCTTATTTAGATTCTTGAGCAAGTGACGGGCAGCTGACCTAAGAAAACTAGGCCTGCACCACAGCTTTTAATTTTTCAAAAGTCAGAGCTTCTCTAAAAGCCATAATACAATAAGCAAACCTTTCTCACTCCCCAGAACACAGACTTCTTCTCCTGGGTCACTAACATGTCCAAATCAGGCCTAAGATGACTAGGATTGTGATCGTTTCTTCCATCAAATACAACTGTCATTCTTATTCAACTCTTACATTAATGCCTTTTTAGCCAGTATTAGAAACTTCACAAACTTTCCAGGTGCACTATGAGGTTTTACTAAAGATCAGGTTTCACTTCCCCATTTTGTAACCAAAACCTGAAGTCATTCAAAAACCAAAATCAGTATCAGCTTTTATTTAGTACAGTAGCATCTGTTTGGCAGGAGGGGGGGGGGAACTAACCAAAAAGAGCAAATCTAGTTCCAAAATTGACTCTTTGCAGATATTTAAAGATAAACTGGAATAATACACTGAAAGATAATTTTAATATCAAGCATCTACAGTGACTGGTATCCTAAAGGCTTCTACACAGCTTTTCAAATTCAAGAGATCACTGAAAGGAACAAAGACTTCAATTTATTTAGCATGGTATTTGTCCATCTGTGAAATCCTTGTGCATGCTCTTTTTATTTTAAATTAAACCAATTTTATGGCAGATTGACCTGG